TTTCGATCATGATCTGCTTTGAATGTATATGTCACTCAAATATGAACGGAACGGGGACGTGTCATTGACAATGACTTGTTAATTAATTAATTAATTAATTTCAATATGTACCGGGGTATTACATATTATAGGGGGCTGAGCTTATTTAAAATAATTTCTATTATTTCAGTTTTTTCTTTGTGCGTGGCATACTTGTATGAGTATGGCCACTTTGATGCTCTGTGAAACTTCTTGTGGAGCATGACACTGATTATACCAGGCTATAACCAGAACTTTGATACCAATTTACAAATTCATGATATGTATTGTTACATATTTTTTCAGGGAACTCCTCTGTGCGTGGCATGTGAGTATGGCCACTTTGATATAGTGAAACGCCTTGTGGAGCATGGTGCTGATTATTACAGGGCTTCACCAGAACTTGGAACACCATTGTACATTGCTACACAGAAAAATTACATCAATGTTGTGGACTTCTTAATAGTGAACAACCCAGGTATGGAACTAAATGAATCGAGTAGATAACAAGAAAGTCAGTGCTGAAAAATCAGATGGAACTACATATGACACATGCAGTTACAACATAATACAGATATAATATACTCTTGATAGAATAGAATAGAATAGAATAGAATAGAATAGAATAGAATAGAATGTAGAAAAGAGTAAAGTAGATGAATATTATAGAAGATTAGATTAGAGTATTGTGTAATAGAATATAATAAATGCAATAGAATAGAAAAGAATTAAGAATAGAATCTAAAAATAGACTATTATACGATGGGAAAGTATAAAATAGAATAGCCACAGTAGTACCCACAGCATTGAGGCATACAGTAGAATAGAATAAATAGAATATAGAAGAACAAAATGGAACAGCTCAGTATAGAATGGACTAAAGTGGAATTACCTTTAGTTACTACTCTTACTCCTGTACATTGTGTTTTGTATTTCAAGATTTAATAAGATTACAAGAGACCAAAGACACTATGTTACATGCTGCCTGTCTTGGTGGTTCGCATGAAATGATAGAATACTGGATAAATTACGGTGCTAATATTAATGGTCAAGTATATGTGTATAAAGATTGGAGAGGAGATGAACCACAAACGCCACTGGAAGCTGCATGTTCAAGTAGGTTTTATCATTAGTTTTCACTTTCACCCACTCAACTTTGTCAACTGCAAAATAGTTATCTGTTCAGTATGTGCATGTTAATTAGGTCATTTGTATATCACCAACCCTTTCACCACATTTGTCAACTTTTGTGACCTTCTACAAAATAGATATATTTGTTCTGTGCATATTGTTCTGTGGTAGTTTTCATATCAACTTTTTTACCATCATTGTCAACTTTTTTTGTCACCTTTCACAAGGTTTTGCTTTTTCCAGTGCATATTAATTAGGTAATTTGTATATTTAAACTTTTTCACCACCATTGTCAACTTTTGTCACCTTCCACACTAGTTTTGTCCTGTCCAGTGCATATTAATTAGGTAATTTGTATATCAACTTTTTCACCACCACTTTCAACGTTTGTTACATATTAATCAGTTGATACACATGTCATCGACCCTTTCCCTGTCATCTACCACAAAATAATCCATTTCATTATCTGATTTGATTCCATCAAAAATGATAATGACCGTTTTAAACCCACATTCTTACTGGGTCATTTAATCACCAAATGAGATCAGTCATGTATATTTTATGACTTCACTGTCAAGTTTAATTACTGGGTTTTTGAACCTGACTAAATGTATATTCACAGGTGGCAGTGTAGATGTTATCCATTTCCTGATTAAAAATGGCGCGGAGATAACAACAGATGTTATCAGTAATCATGGAGAGTTTTTGTGTAATGTCTTTCTTGACTCCAAGTATATACGTAACCGATATGATTCTTGTACTGAGGTCAAAGTGGATGGAACAAAAACAGTAAGAGAGATTTGATCATTTTACAATTAGTTTGATCTGTGGTATCTGAAAGCTAATCAAAACCCATCCATGTATGCAAATTAAAGTGAAAGATTCTTTTTAGGTTACCCAGAATCATGTTGCTAAATGGTCCAATTTAAAGCTTCATGGCGTGTCTGCACACTGGTTTGTAAATATTGCAGAAACACTGGTGGAGATACAGCTTTCTAACAATTCTGGTGTTAAACAACTGCCAAGTGTTTTTCCATGGAGACTTCCAGCATTAGAGTGTGTTTATATCTCCAGGAGTGGTCTGGAATATTTGCCAGATCCGAAAGATGAGGTTATATGTCAAAGGTATGGATCATGTATGGAAAATTTCCAGAAATACTTTTTGGTACACCATGCATTCCTGTATTATATGCCATTGCATTATGTGATGCCATTGCATTATGTGATGCCATTGCATTCTGTGATGCCATTGCATTCTGTGATGTCATTGCATTATGTGATACCATTGCATTATGTGATGTGCATTGCACTATGTGATACCATTGCATTATGTGATGTCATTGCATTATGTGATATCATTGCATTATGTGATATCATTGCACTATGTTATGCCACTGCATTCTGTGATGCCATTGCATTATGTGATATCACTGCACTATGTGATGCCATTGCACTATGTGATGCCATTGCATTATGTGATACCATTGCATTATGTGATGTCATTGCATTATGTGATGTCATTGCATTATGTGATGACATTGCATTATGTGATGTGCATTGCATTATGCGATATAATTGCATTATGTGTTGTGCATTGCATTCTGTGATGTCATTGTATTATGTGGTGTGCATTGCATTATGTGATACCATTACATTATGTGATATCATTGCATTATGTGATGCCATGTCATTATGTGATACCATTGCATTATGTGATGCCATTGCATTATGTGATACCATTGCATTATGTGATACCATTGCATTATGTGATACCTATGCATTATGTGATACCATTGCATTATGTAATACCATTGCATTATGTGATGCCATTGCATTATGTGATGCCATTGCATTATGTGATGCCATTACACTATGTGATACCATTGCATTATCTGATACCAATGCATTATGTGATGTCATTGCAATATGTGATTTCATTGCATTATGTGATACCATTGCATTATTGATACCATTGCATTATGTGATGCCATTACACTATTTGAATTCCATTGCATTATCTGATACCATTGCATTATGTGATGCCATTGCATTATGTGATGTCATTGCATTATGTGATGTCATTGCAATATGTGATTTCATTGCATTATGTGATGCCATTGCATTATGTGATGCCATTGCATTATGTGATACCATTGCATTATGTGATACCATTGCATTATGTGATGCCATTGCATTATGTGATGCCATTACACTATGTGATACCATTGCATTATCTAATACCAATGCATTATGTGATGTCATTGCAATATGTGATTTCATTGCATTATGTGATACCATTGCATTATGTGATGTCATTGCATTATGTGATACCATTTCATTATGTGGTGTCATTGCATTATGTGATACCATTGCATTATGTGGTGTCATTGCATTATGTGATACCATTGCATTATGTGATGCCATTGTATTATGTGATGCCATTGCATTATGTGATGCCATTGTATTATGTGATGTCATTGTATTATGTGATATCATTGCAGTATGTGATGCCATTGCATTTTGTGATGCCCTTACATATTGTGATGCCCTTGCATTTTGTGATGCCATTGTATTATGTGATACCATTGCATTATGTGATGTCATTGCATTATGTGATACCATTGCATTATGTGATGCCATTACACTATGTGATACCATTGCATTATCTGATACCAATGCATTATGTGATGTCATTGCAATATGTGATTTCATTGCATTATGTGATACCATTGCATTATGTGATGTCATTGCATTATGTGATACCATTGCATTATGTGATGTCATTGCATTATGTGATACCATTGCACTATGTGGTGTCATTGCATTATGTGATACCATTGCATTATGTGATGCCATTGTATTATGTGATGCCATTGCATTATGTGATGCCATTGTATTATGTGATGTCATTGTATTATGTGATATTATTGCAGTATGTGATG